CTGCACAATTAAAGTGCAGAAAACAAAACAAAGAAAAGGAAACAAAAAATTAGCTTTTTAGCTAAGTAAGACCCACCCAACCCCGTAAAATAATCACGTTTGGCGAAAATAGTTTTATACATAACTATAACTTTAAAAATTCATTTTCTTCCCACAAAACTAATTTGGTGTTTAAAATAATATTTATAAACTTTTAGTAACTCACACATTCATATACAAGTATCACTTTTCAAAATATAATTTATAGCTAATTACTCTTTTTAAATATACTCATTTGCTCTTTGAAAATAATCTCCATAGTCTTCCTTTTAAGATGGGCGGTACTTTCGGATACTTATGCCCGAAGCCCAATGAGTCGTTGTTATTTACGAACTCATCCCGGAATCCAGTTCCTATCACTATCTCTTGAATCGAAACGGCCACTAAACTTGTTCTGTTCAAGTAGTAGTAGCCCTAACCATCCTCCACATTTATCCGGATGTGAAAAACCGAAACCACGGATTTCTCTCGGGGTGCTCACCTCTTATGAAAATCTTAATTTTCATCTTGAATCAAGATACACTTCAAAATATTTTCCAAACTCTCTAAATAGTCTAAAAGGTGTTTAAAAGTATTTAATACCCCAAAAGTACATAGTTTGTATTTCTCAAATACTATAGATTAAATATCTCTTTAAATAACACATATACATAATTCAAAAACTCAATACATAATCACATAGCACATAATAATCACATAGCACAGAATATTTCTCAAGTCTCCAAATATTCTCAATAGTGTTTAAAAATATTTAATACCCCAATATCTCAACTTTCTCAAATACTATAAATTTAATGTCACTTCAAATAATACATATTCAAAATTCACACTTTAATCAAATAATAGCATATAATACGAGGAAACCATTTTGGATCGGCAGAGAAACTTACAATTTAGGGTTTATCCAAAACTAGTTCCAAAATAGTGTTTAATAACATATTCAAAATAATCCAATAACGATATTTATAACTCCAGGATATTTATGTAAATTTTCATACCAAATTATACATTTAAAAATATATAATTTATCCCAAAAGATTTGATCTCACAACACTTTCCAAAAAGAGGGTTTAACTCAAACAACCACTTCCCAAAAGTAGCATTTACTACTACCACCAAAATAATCAAATTGGAGTATTCTGAACCCATAATATATTTTCTATATAACCAGTTATAATAGTCCCAAATCATTCTTCAACTCATACCAAAACAATCACCAAAATTTTCCAATCCCAAAAGAACAATCATCAAAAATCACAATTTTAGCCATGATAAACTGATTTGATAAATTCACCAAAAATCACACGTTCATTGATAGAGTATATAGACTCGGACCCCCGGGTCTCACGACTATTGGGCTCGGACAGCGGCCCACTCACGCTTATCGGACGTCATTTATATCATTTGTATTATTGTAGAGTTCATATATTATCTGTATGTACTAGATTAGTCTTTTATGTAGTTGGGCCTATCGGGCCCATATTAGCGGCCCGACCCATTATTTCTCTATTTATACTCCTCTTGGAGCCATTTGTAACCCTAGAACATAACTCTCAATACCACTACTCATTCATCTTCCTCTCTATATGCTCAAATCTCTCCCATTTTATATATGTTTGGATACCCTATAATCCATCAATGGTGCTCTCGTTGAGCACGCAAGCCTCCACCCACGCCGACGACCTCCGGGAAATCTTTGAAATCATGAAGGAGTTCAGGCTCCGCCTCAACCCCAAGAAGTGCGCCTTCGGCGTCCAAGGCGGCAAGTTCCTCGGCTACATGGTAAGCCGGAGAGGGATCGAGATAAACCCGGAGAAGACACAGGCTATCATCAACATGGAGCCGCCCCACAACGTCAAAGAGGTACAGCGCCTGACGGGGCGCCTGGCGGCCCTGAACCGTTTCCTCTCCAGGTCAGCCGAGAGGGCACTCCCCTTCTTTCAGATCATGCGTAAAGCCAATAGCTTCAAGTGGACGACGGAGTGCCACGAAGCGTTTGAAGAGTTGAAGAGGTACCTATCGTCCCTGCCCGTGCTCTCCAAGCCCAAAGCCGGCGAAACCCTCTTCTTGTACTTAGGGGTGAGCACGTCGGCCATTAGCTCCGTGCTCATCCGTGAGGACGAAGGGGTGCAGAAGGCCATCTTCTACATCAGCAAGACGCTCAGGGAGGCCGAGCTCAGGTACTCCCCCGTTGAGAAGACGGTGCTAGCCATCGTCCACACGGTGAAGAAGCTGGGGCACTACTTCCAAGCCCACGTCGTCCATGTGCTGACCCAGCAGCCTCTCGGCGCACTCATGAGGAGCCCCACTAGCTCCTCAAGGATGGTGAAATAGGCGATCTTCCTCAGCCAATTTCAAATTGAGATCAAGCCAAGGCCATCTATCAAAGGGGAAGCCTTGGCCGACTTCGTCACTGAATGCACAGCAAGGGAGACGGCCGTTGCCAACCCCGGGACGGAGCCGGACGATACATGGATCCTATTCACTGATGGCTTGTCGGCCGCGAAGTCATGCGGTGGCGGCGTCGTCCTCATATCCCCTGAAGGATTCAGAGCTTACTATGCCATCCGCTTCAACTTCAAGGTATCCAACAACGAAGCCGAGTATGAGGCCCTCCTCAGCGGCCTCAGACTCGCCGCCGGCCTCAGAGCCTGACATATCAAAATCAGATGCGACTCCAAGCTGGTAGTGGGTCAGGTGGAGGGCACGTACGAAGCAAAGGAAGGCCGGATGAAGCAGTACAAACAAGCAGCGGAGGAGCTGCTGAAGGCGTTCGAAACCCACGAGATCACACAGATCCCAAGGGCCGAGAACGCCGAGGCCGACATCCTCTCCAAACTTAGCTCGGACACCCCGGAGCACATCTCCCAGCTAGCCAAGATCGAGGAGTTGAGCATGTCCAGCATCCATGCCAGCCCCGTCTTGTGCGTCCAACAGCGACCAGAGGACTGGATCTCCGACATCGTCACCTTCATCGCGACGAGGGAGCTGCCCCCGACGAGGAGAGGGCCAAACTTGCCAAACTCAGGGCCCCAAGCTACACCATTGAAAACGGCAAACTCTACAAACGATCCTATAATGGCACTCTCCATGGAAGAAGTTCATTGTGGCGTTTGCTCCTCGCACCAGGGCCCTTTCAGCATGTCCCAGAAGCCCTGGAGGATGCCGTGCGTGACCCCCAGACGCCCCAAACCTTAGTTTTTTGCCTCGTTTCTTCCCCATTTGGACCTCCCCTTTGTCCCAAACACTAAACCAAACATAATAAACGACCTAAAGACCGTGTAAACAATATGAAACACAATTTTAATTATTTCCCAAATTCTCTCAAATTTTCGGGATATTACACCTTCCTCGACATAATATCCACTCCACATGCGCCGAAATCACCGTACCAAGTACGACGTCACATCCAACAGCCGCATTAAATGCGGCCACATGCGATTGCTAGCGCCAACCAGTTGAGGTGACCCCTCGGCCAATGGATGCTTGACACGTGTCCCTATCTGGCATTTATTACTACTATAAATAGCACCCCATTTCCCCATTTGTAACCCAGAAGAAAAATACGCTGAACACATATCTAATATACACTCTCTCTCTTACTTACTTGCTCTGACTTCTCTCTAGTTATTCTCCGCAATAACCCCTCGGATAAGCTACCCCCGGGTACACTATCCATCAACCACTTTTTCTTCTTCTCATTCTTTCTAACGTTTGATTTCTGCACACTCTCGAGTAATGACTCGATTTTTAGAGTTAGTATTCTAACTCGATTCGCAAATGAGGTTCTTAGAGTTGACTAGGTTTAATTATTTACTTCCTGATATTTTTTTCATTCTAACTTACTTCTTTTAGGTTTGCAGAATTCCACATATGCAAGATATAACACCCAGCACATTCTTTGCAGTTGATAGATAACAACTGAGCATCTGAGTCCAAACGTAGTAATAGAACAATGACTTCATTCTGTGCAGCAGAAGATATGATGTCTATGTATAAGAAGAAATGTGAAGGCTCTGTGAAGAATGGGCTAAAAGTTGGATTTGTTAGCGTTTTGTTCTCGTTTTTACTTATTGTTTCGTGATATGTCCCTATGAATTATGTAGAATGTACAATCACATTTACGTGTGAATTTGAGCTATAAATAAAAATATTTGAACGTTTGATTATTTATTAGTATTAAATTATGATTGTAATCAATGTATCATATGTATGATTTCATAGTATTAGCGTGTCATTAAGTTTTGTAATACAATTTCAAATAGGGACATGAGTTTCATTTTTTCACAAAGTGGTACTTGTACTTTCACTTTGAGATTTTTCATCTAAACACCATAAAAAAGAACGCGATGTTAGTGTATGAAAAAGTGACGCATCACATTCTTTGTGACAGAGTTTGGATGGAAACCCTCAAAATTGAAAGCACGTACCTCACTTTGTGAAAAAAATGAACCTCATGAATGCCCTTATTTGAAGAGAAATTTTACAAAAAAAATCTCTTCTAATAGAATGAGAAATAGAATAATAAAAATGAAAAATTAATAAGAACAAAATGATATAAAAAGTACTCCCTCCGTTCCTAAATAAACTTCCAACTTACCTTTTTCGTCCGTTCCAATTAAAACTATCACTTTCCTTTTTTTGTAAAGAATTTGTGGTTCACAACATTTCTTACACATTTCCTCTCTCCTCATAACTCTCCACCATAGAATACCCATTATCTTAAACTATGTGTCAAAACTATTTCGAAATTTTAATAGGAACAGAGGGAGTAATATAAATGTCTAGCTAGGGATGAAAATAAAGAGAAAAAATTTAGGGAGAGAAGAAAAAATGAAACATAAAATTATTTTGAGTAGATTTGTGAAAAGTAGAATTATTTTTATAAGGTTTTCAAAGAAAGGTTAAAAAATCAGGCATAATGGTGTCTTAATATTGCATGAGAGCACATAGGTTTTCAGCCAAATTTCATTTAGTTGTCTTAAAATCAACAATATAATTACTTAAGAACTGAAATCATCATCCAACAACACAGCATATTAGCAGCTACACCGATTAAGTAATAGTATAATCATAACAATGTTGATACTTATGGATTGGATCATGAGATATGAAGGTTTTGGGACGCTTCAATTCATTGATCAGGCAACTAGCTTAGGAGTAATGAGAAGGAAATATCAACTCCATCAAATCAATATCCTTATTAGCTCCACCACTTGATGATGATCTGTCATGGCCGCCGCAGTTCCACCCAACCATCTCCTGCCCTTCATAGCCGCCGTAGCCGTTAGACGACGACGAAGATGGCGGCGGCGTAGCACCATCTAGCAAAAAAGAGATGTAACAGTCAGGACCCCAACCTTGCAGAGCTTTTGGTGGCGGTGCTGAAGTGATGGTTCCATTTCCGGCCACCGGGCCGTCGTCGACCGTCGCCGTCGAGTTGCTGTTACTGCTAGGAGAGTTTTTCCCGAACAGGGTTTCCATGAAAGTCATCTCCTCATCATGTGTCCGGTGAGTGGTCAACAGCGAGGAAGCCTCGTTGATTCCGTCGGGGTCGTCCTCTTCGGCGTCAAAAACGGGGGTTCCGGTGGCGGTGGCGGTGGTGATGCTGTCGGTGCTGGCGGGGAAGAGACACTTGGCCCTTATGTATTCTTGAAGAACGGTGGGTGACTTTTTGACGGTTGGTTTCTTGTTCACGACCGTGTTCTTTTTTCTCCGGGAAATCTGCCTCCTTTTGGTGGCGTTCCAATGATTCTTGATGGCGTTTTCCGTCCTTCCGGGAATCCCTTTGGCAATCTCAGCCCATTTGTTCCCAAGCTTTTTGTGTGCTTCCACTAACATCATCTCTTCTTCCTCACTCCATCCATTTTTCTATATATACACACAAACAATTCCCAATAATAATTTAAAACCGACAATGATTTGGAAGTAGTAACAAATCATTATCATGTCCATAAAAGGGGGACAAGAAACCTTTTTATAAATTTGGAATGACAATTATTAAGGAATGACAATAAATGATACTTGTTTTTTACACTTTTGTCCATCTTTCTAAAAATAGATGTCTTTAAGTTAATGAGGAAAAAGTAAAAGTAAGGATAAATTTGTCACTTTATTCTTATTTACATACCTAAAATAGAAAGTGAAAAACCATTTTAGGACAATCAAAATAGGAAATTTTGCAAATCAAATTATGAAGGAGTAAAATGGATATATACTTTATGCTTAGAAGATACTCTCTACGTGCAGTTGTTATACCGTATGACCCGGTGAGCACCGTATACCGGCATACGGTTGGTATTATTTTTTACTTCTCTTTTTTTTAAAAAAATGGTAATAACTTTTTTGTTTTTGATTCGATTTTTATAAAATTTATATCAATATTTTTTATTTTTCATGATCTTTCAAATGAGACCAATATTACCTATGTAATTTTAACATATTATCGAACTATTATATTAACCTATGTAAAATATGTAATTTTACGTGTAGAAATATGTAACTCACGTCCAGTCAGCCAAATGCAACACATGTGTATAAATATGTAACTCTATGTGTAAGAATATGTAAATTTACGTGTAAAAATATGTAACTCGCGTTCAGACAGGTCAAATACAACTCGTGTGTATGAATATGTAACTCGCGTTCAGACAGGCTAAATGCAACTCGTGTGTATAAATATGTAACTTTACGTGTACAAATATGTAACTTTACGCATAAAAATATGTAACTCACATGTATAAATACATAATAAAATAAATTTTTATATACACAATTTTAAGATAAATTGTGATTTACACAATTATTTTTCTGTATTAAATTTAGTTCGATTTTCCTTATAATCCAATACTAATTAATATAATAGTTCAATAATTTTTTAAAATTACATAAGCAATATTGGTCTCATTTGAAAGATAATGAAAAATAAAAAATGTTGATATGAATTTTATAAAAATCGGATCAAAAATAAAAAAGTTATTACCATTTTTTAAAAACAAAAGGAAAAAAAATACTATCCTCCGTATCTCATTAATTGCAACATTAGAATATATACATTATTCATGTACTTTACTTTGACTACATTTTATTTATTAATGTATGTGAATTATTTTTTATAAAAAATGTTGTTAAATTCGTCTCATTACTAAGTTTTATAATCTAATTTTTATTTTATTTTTACTAATACAGAATTAAATATAATGACGGTCAAAGTTGTGTGTTGGCAAACGTGAAATGTTGACTGTTGCAACTAAAAAGAAACGGAGAAAGTAATAAAGTCTGTATATCGGTATACGGTGCTCACCGTATACAGATCATACGGTATAATTTGCCCTCTACGTTCTAAGGATTTTTTCATTCTAGACTCCAACGTTCAATTATCAAGCAAATTGAAGGCCCCCCAACACGGGGTTAAATTGATCCCATCAGAGGGCCCTCACACACCAGACACTTAGATGAGATGATGCAAATTAGACTTTAATCACAAGCTGATAAATAGAGAGTGAAGTTCTGACCTTGATACATGAAGAGACTCTATGCATTTTAACATAGTAATCTCTCATCGCGGTTTTCGGGATTCGAACCTGAAACTTACCTTTATGTACGTGTTACATAATATGATCTAATATGGACGAACGTATTTAAGTATGGTTTAATCTATGCTCATTAAATATGACATTATGTCTCTTTTGCTACGACCTACGTTTAGTCTAAGGTGATCCGATAATTTGTTTCTGTCGCAGACTAGAGTCTAGACCAGATTAGACCAGATCAATCAGATCAGACTAGACTAGACTTTCATAATTATAAAATACACAGATACAGACCCGGTCATGACATTTTATGGGCCCGGGGCGATACATATAGAGTAGGCCTTAAGATAACGTGTTAATTTTTATATTTGTTTATAAAAAAAACTGCAATTAAGTATATTCAAGCATTTTTTTCATTCAAATACGAGTATAACATATCAAAGAAATTACGTAATAATAAATAATGGTTAGAGAGATTATATTTAAGTATTTGATAATTGAAATTCGAGAATACCATGTACCAAAAGGGCTCTGGGGAAGAGTAAAATGATTGTTAATAGTACATAATTTTCAATTAGGGAAAGATGTGAAAGTTATATCATTATGGAGTAAAATTTTCATATTTTGATTCACATTTTCTCTAGACTAAAACAAATTGCAAGTTTCTAAATCCTGGGTAGGCTACTTTAATCTTTCACTTACACGAGAGAACAGAAAAATTAGCAAAATACTATCAATGAATCATGAGTTTACATGAGAGAAGTAGATGAAAATATTGACATTTATATGCTAACGTACACTTGATGAATCAAAAGAAAGTGTGAAATTTATTCACAAACAATTCTCCTATAGATGTTTCAAAATTTTAGAATTGTAGTTTGTAGATGTTGAATAAAAAATTGAACGTAATGAAAAAATTATAAGTTTGATTTTATTTTTAAATTTATACTAGTATATATTAAAATATAAACACACACACACACATATATAAATTCTGGTTAGTTCGGACTGACCAGAACCGCTTTGCGGCCAAGCCTGTTTGAGGGCTTTCCAAGTTACATTTTTTGATGAAGTGTAGCACATTCAAAATTTCAACTTAAAATTCAATTTGAAAATCAGTTAAATAATTTGTTGAAAAACACTATGATTTTTATTCATATGTTTGCGCAGTGTTTTTGAAGAATTTATTTAACTATCTCCCATTTGAATTTTTTGATGAAGTTTTATGTGAATGTTTTACATTTCGTGAACAACGTGCTCACAAAATTTCATTAAAAAAGTCAACCTAAAGGGTTCTCAAACGGGATTGGCCTTACAACGGTTCTGGTCAGTTCGGACTGACCAAAATATTCCTCATATATAACTGGAAAATTTATGAGCCCTAGGGGAGCAATGGGCCCTGGGCGCATGCCCCTTAGCCCATGCCCTAGGACCGGCCCTGCACAGACACCGGCCATTTACCTGACTTGACCAGTTCAGACCAGACTAGACTTCCATAATTATAAAATACACAGAGACCAAACATTTACCAGACTAGAGCTGACATGTTCAGACCATACTCTACCAAACTAGATCAGATCAGATCAGCAAATTTCAGTCCAAGAGAAAACATCCTTAAATATATTCTTATTCAATTTGTATTCACATTTAATTTAATTTGTCTCTTTAGGTTTGGCAAGTCTAATTAGACCTGTTATGTTGTGAAAGTAGGGATGTTTTTACTTGGACTATTTTTAGTCTCAAACCAAACCAGACTAGACCAGACTAAGCTTTCATAGTTATAAAATACATAAAGACCAGACGTTTACCAGACTAGACCAGACCAGAACAAACCAATCCAGTTCAGACCAGATCAGATCAGACTTAAACAGATCAGACCAGACCAGATTATCAAATTTTGAGTCCAAGTAAATTAAAGACATCCTAGAACTAATCTAAATGAAAACATACAATATTAAGCTAGAAGAGGGTAAAGGCCTACTGTCGCTTTGCCGACTGAGTCACCGTGATTTACTCCCTCACCATCCTGTCGGGTCGGGGTGGGGGCCCTTGGGGTTGGGGATTCAACCTTTTGGACGTATATATCCGATCCTTTTGGGTCGTTATACTTATGTATATCAAGGAGTATGTGTTTGTGTACGTATGATGATGTTCAATTCATTTATATTTATCTTGGGTGTTTTCACAAAATAAATAAGACAAAATATTAAGATTAAAGTGTACATTGATCAAAGTAATGGCAGAAAGGTCGTAGCTAGGGTTCCCTAGCTTACGAAGTAGTTTTGGGCAGGCGGCTTCCACTGTCGGGCATTTGCAACTCGGAGATTGAAGGGGATTGTTCTATTCGGCACGACGAGTCTTGAATTGGCAAGGCACGTAGCGAGATGTTCGGCGAGTTGAAGGAAGAGACAGACGAAGGTCGTAGGGACGACTCACTCTAGTGAATTTGCGGAAGACCTAGCTAGCATCGTCGAGGAAATTCTAAAAAGAAGGGGATTTTATGAATGTCATTCAAAAAAAATGGGACTTTGCTCCCTTGGATGAATTTGGGGTATTCGGAAGCTCCAATTCCGAATTGGATGTGTGGTGGTGGCTGGGTAGGGAGGAAGAGGGGGAGAGATAGAGGCTAAGGTTAAAACCTCATTTTTCTATTAAGTGATTTAACTTTTTTATTTGTACTTCAATTTTTACAAAAATTATATCAAAATTCATAACTTTTTATTATCTTTCTAACAACACTAATATTCCACATATAAATTTTTTTTTTAAAAAAAATTGAAATTTCAATATAAACTTTTACATGTTTTTAAGATTCAATATTTTTCTTAGATAGATCTGAATGATAAAATTAAAACATTTTTTAAAATAATTGAAACATGTAAAAAAGTTAGGTGAACAAAGAGATTTTAATTTCAGCACTTGAATCTACTCCCTCCGGTTCTGAAAAATCTTTACACTTTCCTTTTTTGGCAGTCCCGGAATTATCTTTACACTTCTTATTTGCCTTACAAATCTACACCAAACAGTGTCAAACAGTGTCAAACTCTTTAATATTTGTGAAGTCAAAGTGTAAAGATCTTTCAGAACCGGAGGGAGTATTTAAGAAAAAAATTGAGTCTGAAAACATTCTACTGTTAAAACTCATTAGAAAGGTAATAAAAAGTTGTGAATTTTGATATATTTTTTATAAAATTTGGAGTAAGAATTAAAAAGTTACATCTATTAATAAATAAATGGGATTTTAGATTAGCCAACCCCCAACCCCCTCTCAGCGAACCTACCCCTCCCACCCAACCTAATAATTCTAATCGGAAGTCCCAATTCCGAATCCCTCTTTCT